CTTTAAAGAAAGAAAGCGGTTTGTAATAGTGTTCGTATCTTCATGCCCATACATATCCCGAAGAAAGTTCCAGATTAAGACTACTACATCATCGGAGATGTCACAACGGCTACGACTGATAGCGCGATAATAGAGTTTGTGTTGATCAAGCGCTGTGATGTCTACAGTAATCAATGAATCATCAAAGATTGCTTTGGAATATGCACTGCGTTGCGACTGTAGTACTAAGAAAACAGTTAAATTTTAAATGCGCGGTTATAAGATCTAACAGATCTTCTTGTTGTAAACAGTTTGATGTTACATCTGATTGATAGCAATACATGTCCTCAAACATGTCTAGTTTAAGTTATAAGTGCTTTGACAACTGTGTGTGTGGAGGTCTTTATATTTGAAGAAATTTACCCTGCCTGACCTGAAGATTCACAAACCAGTCAGTCATCCACTCTTGAAATAATTAATTCAAAGCAATTGACACAATTGTAATGTTTCTTATTTTGAAAATTGAAAGACCTAGAAAAAAAAAAACATTGTACAGTTTTGGAAAATATCCATACCCACACCAAGGAAGGAGTATGAAGTCAGGTCATTGAAAATCCTAGAGGTGGGGGCTCCAACAACAAAAAATTAAGGAAAAATGTGAAGCTAAATTGGATTTCTTTCCGCAGGGGTTGGAAGGAGGAGGTCAAATAAATAAACCCTCTGTGGATGGGTATGGTTATTTCCTGAAAAAATGCATTTTACTGATTTTAATATTTTACAAATGACCTGGGCTGATTCATGTTAGCCTGTAAAGTTTCAGTTTTGTGCTTGTTTGCTTGTTTTGCACCAGAAACTCTTGCAATTAAGCATCTCTCAGAAGTGTAACAGTAGATTGTAAAAGTGTTGTAATCCAAGACTCCAAAGAAGTAACTTATGGATTACCTCAAGTAACATTTAGGAAAGGTATAAGAAAGCCCTTTGACATAATTTCAAGAACATTAAAATGTCTTGAAATGTTTATTTCTAGAAATTTGTTCTAGAGAAAGGCAGATCTAACAGATAATTTACAGTCAATGCCTGTAGCTTGTGGCATTTTCACAATTTGGTAGTTTAGTGAAAAACTTTAAAACACTCATTAATGTAAGGTTTTAGTTAGTTAAGTTAAGGTTGGAATAATCAGGTTTTGATGACTGTAAAAGTATATTGTAGGACATTAGGTGTTAATACTTCCCGTACGAATGGTTAGTTATGTCCACATTGTCTTTTTAATAAGTTGTTTTTAAAGAAGGAACCCTTATAAGGTGTTTGTTAAAGTAGCATTAAGTTCCATACATAATTGGTGTTTATTATGATTGTTTTTCTTCATTTGAAAAGGTGACAATGACTTACAGTTATTTTTAGCAATTTTTAAGAAAAAGCATTATTTTGAAAAATTGTCATGTTTCATATAGAAATAAAATGGGAATTCATGTCATGCCACGAAATACTTTAGGAGACAATTTAGATTGACTAATTGAAAAATAAAATTACTAAAAAAATTTGCTATTCGATTTGAAACAGGTTTCAATGAGACCTGGTAGAAATCATGTTAAATCACCTTTTCTTATGGAGAGTCACATGGTTATATTGGGAGGAATATTTTGCTGCCTGGGGATGCGTTAAGTCCTGTTATTTGTGGCCAGTTGTTACTGGCGTGTGTCAAACACACATGTTTAACCTTTTCAAGAAATATGTGCCAAAAATCTTGAAACTTATGTAAGTTATTCATTTCTCAATATTAAGAAAATTGGCAAGAGTTGAACAACTAATGAGCTTACTAAGGTTTGTGATGCTCGAGGGGCTTTCATTAAAGTTTCATCTTTTTTGGTGCATTTAATTTCTGTTTGTTAATTTCAATACCCTTGCTGAACCTCTCCACATAAAGAATGAGATGAAAATGTTTAATTTTAGTTGCAATTGCAGTTCCTGGGAGGAAGAATAATTTTGTAATTAGTTGTTTTGTACTTTCCCAATTATCTGGGAATGAATGCCAAATGAGTGAGCAGTTTATTGCAGTACAATGTATTAAGAAATTAAAACATGGTGGGATGGTGAAACTTGGTGAAAAACCATATTTTGTTTTATTGGAATATATATAAAGTACTTGTCTGGGCATTGAGACAGAGAGAACCAATAGAACTTTATAAAACTTTTTCTGAAATATTCTCATTACTGACACCATACATTTCTTCTTCTTTGAGATTTTACTAGTGTCATAATGAGAATTAAGAATGAAGAAGCTCCAGTGTTGGAAATTAAGGGATACAATCAGAGAGGTTCACTGGTTCTAGAGAAGTGAGGTATTGTCATAGGTTAGGTAGAATTGGCAAAGGAAATTTAGATTCCTGATGATGCCTGCATAGAGTGGAAACTCTTATGTTTCAAGTTAACCCATTCCTATCAACAGAAGACTGAGTTTAGAAATTGAAATCAAGTTACATCCAGAATATTTCCAAGTGCTGTCACATCCTCATTCCATGTTGCACTACCTTTGCTCAATGCCTCTTGAGTGAATAACAGTATTTCAATATTATTGTTACTTCTCATGGCCAGAGTACTTCTCTGATTGGAGTTCGTCTCCCATACAACTGGTTTTAGACATATTTAACATCGTATGGGGTTAGCTATAATATTTATTTGTATTTAAATACTCATAGTCCAGGGAATTATTAGGACTGCATGTTCCAAATGTATGGAAAAGGACTTAGAACTGGTGTTCAAATAATGTAATTTTGTCAGGATCCAACAATGGATGATTTAAGTAATCTAGGAAGGGCTGGCAATTTAATTTGCTGACCACATGTTTTCTTTTACTTGAGTTTTGCAGGATGTAGTTGATGTATTCACTGTGAAGGAAGATTGATTGATTGATTGATTCTTCATAGAATAAGCATCTTGCAGAAATTTAACCAATTTTTCAGGATGTTTTTTTGACTATGCCTTCTTGGCTTCTTGTGGGACTAAGAAAGTCTCAGGCTTGGAGAGAAAAAAATTAGTCTCACCATTATGCAAAGTCTTGAATTTACCATCCCTACAGTAAGCTGCTCCTTTTCAGGAGTTTTTTTTTATTGATATTACACCTCTAACTGGTTATCTTATGATTAAAGGCCATAATGTATGGTATGTTATACAACTCAACGTTAAGTTACAAATCAGATATTTTTTTAGTGACGACTGTCAAATTGGTAACTCTTAAACCAAAGGCATTTTTGCCTACATGATGGCAGAATATTAAATATATGACTAGGTCAACAATTGAATTCTAATGACTGGGCAATTCAGTGACAAAGGGGTCAAGTTGGAGGTATAGTTAAGAAGTTTGTACTTGCAACAAATGGCCCTAAGGGAAACAGTGAGTTTTGTTTCTTCAAGACCCTCAGTGTTCTCCAAAGCAAAACCAAGGGAATATTGAGGTCACATTCTTACTTTGTTATTTTGTTTTCTTGGCGTACCTGTAAACAAGCTGGTGCATCCTGTAGACTCTGCTTATCAAGTCCATGGGATGCACCGTTACCATAGCTAAGTGTCTATCAGAAAACAAAACTCACTGTTTCCCTTGGGGCCAGTCATTAAGTGTTTTGTTATACCTCCCTACTCAAAAATAGAATAAACTGCAAAAAAATAATTGCTTGACACCAACAGGTCCACAAATTTGCCATGGTTTCAAGGTGCATGACATGATCACGTGCAAATTGAAAGTTCAAGTTTCCCCAGGGAGTTAGTGAGTTTTGTTTGCCCTAGGGAGTGAGTGAGTTTTGACCCATGACACGTGACACATTCTCCAGTCGGAAAACGTATTTGAGGTGGGAGTTACAACAATCAAGTTTGTTTGTACCACTGCCAATAATCCTGTATGACAAACAACTGCCAATGATCTTGTATGATTATATTAATTGTCTGACCTGTTCTCTTTTTTTATTTTTTTAACAAAATATGAGAAAACTTTATTTGTGTGGCTTCTTTTGTAATTGAACAATCAATTCAACAGGTTAAGTTTTCTGTTTTATTTTCTTGATAGCTCATACATGTACAAATGTCAGAGTCTAGATTATTATTTTTCCATGATTTTAAAATAAATTCTTTTTAAGTACATAAATCATTGTACTTTTTTTGTTGTTGTTATATAAACACCAATGAAATACCAGGTGAGCCTTTGTGCGAAAACACGATATCTTGACACATGCAAAAAGATCACTGTTGCTATGGTTGCATAATGAAATGTGGCTTTTGAAGCAAAAGTGAAATGGCCTGGTAATACTCATTTTCCTGTGGAGTGTTGAAAAATATTTCACTCATTCACTGTGCACATTCATGAAACATTTTCACCACTCAAAGAGAAATTTTGTATCGCGGTTCAGCCATGTGATATCCTGAATTTATTGTATAATGCAGCTATGCCTATTGCAAATCAAACTTGTATCACTGTTATTCCTGTATTATGGTAGCAATGGGGAGGAGACAATCCCACTGCATGCACAAATTTTGACAAAACTCATATGCCTGGTAGACTTTTACCTGCCTTTAACATATTGTAACTTTTTCAAAAATCAGGAATCACGTTCGTCTTGTAGTTTCAATTTTTATGCTCATTTACATGTCACACGGCCACCCCCCTAGTATGTTGCTGCAAATCTTTCCTGTAGATATCCCAGAGACGTTATAGCTTCATACTTGTTTGAACCATCCAGAGACTCAATCATCACTTCATTGTCGGGATGAGCAAAGAAAGCCAGTGATCGACGCACAGTCCTCTGCTTTCTTTCCTCATCTGGAATAAGTACCCTGTGTTTCTGAAATAAAAATACCCGGCTACATCAATGCATAAATTTGGTTAGAAGCACAGTGTTGTGTAAAACTGCCATGGGTGCATAACTTTTAGGGTGAAATGTTCAGAACTCAGTGAAGAATCAACAATACTGGCAAGGAGATGTAATCTTAGGTGAATGAAGTTTTACTTACAGTGGATCTAAGTTTGTCAGCTGTCCAACGTTGCATCAGATCTCCAATATTGACAAGCACAGTTCCAGAAATAGGCCTTGCAGGGGTGTATGCCCCATTCACTGGCAGGACCTGTGAAGAGAAATGTCTCGTTCTTAGTTACATTAAGACACATGATTACAGGTTTCGTTTGCCTCTAAAGAGCAGAAATTAATAGGATACTGGGAGATGTCAAGTCTTTTGCAGTCTTTCCATAATAATATGGTCTCACTATCGAACACTATATCTCCTACATTTGGTAGTATAACATCTCTCACCACATAATTTTTCAGGTGCTTTGTGGTATGCATATGATAACAGATTTAAGACTGTACCATTGCTGACCTCTAATCCACCAACACTATCCTGAAACAACAATGTTATGCTCCCATAGTCACTATGTTCCCCACATCGCACTTGCTCTGGCTTGATAATAGACTCCTCAGGGAGGGGTGGGTAATATAACAGTCGTAAGGCAGTTGGATTCCCTGATGTACCAATGGAACCATGCACTTGTGCAAGCCACTTAGGGTCCTAAGAAGCAGAGGTATATCTAAAATCAGGGGAGAACCACAGGAACAAATCTAAAATGGTTTTCAGCCTTAGATATCTAAGGATTCCTACATGATTATAAAGAGCATTCTTATAGTCTTGAGAAAGCACAACATGGCATGACAGTTAACATATTGCAAACTATTCAAGTCTCAAAGTCTAAAAATTTTATCAGCAACTGCTGACTCGATCATATCTCACTGGCTGAAAGTTTACTCCAGTTATATTGTAAATAATAATGATAATAATGATAATGATGACAATAGTAATAATGATAAAGTAAGTAAATAACCTTTATTAATGTGGTCTAATACACTAAGCTCATTGCAGTATTGTAAGCATCGCTATTTTCCAGGTATTGCCACAAACAAAAAAATAAAACAAAAACTTAAAGGTATAAAATAAGTATATAATATTAAAAAAGTTTATAGTGCAACTTTCCATGAAATGATCAAGTGTGCTTTACATCATTAGAATTAAAACTATAATCCTGAAAGATTTAAATTTACAATGGTTGCTAACAAATTCAAAACATGTTCATAGATAAAAAATTCAATAAAAACTTAATAAAAAAAGTTAATCTGATATCAATAAAAAGCTAACCTAACGTAATAGGTATTTAGAAGCTGCTTGAGGTGACTGATAATAAAGTAATAGCAGTAATATACAGCACTATACAAATACACTATATGAACAAGTACCTGTAACTTGAGCCCGATACCAACAACATCAAGAATTCTGAAAGTTAGATTTTTACATTTGTTGAAAAATGATGTGACCGTGGGTCTGAAGTCTGGAACCTGCTGATCTGGCCATTTCTACAGATAATTTAAAGGTATATTGTTAACAATTAGATTGTAGATGTCCTATGCTCCTCCCAGGACCATGGGGTTAAGTAAGTAGTAATAATATGCACCATCCAGGAAATCTGTCAGTCATTGCATAATTATCAATAATTAGGAGAAGTTAGATGTTGATCACTTTTGAGAATGATTTATGTCCTAATTATTATAACACATAAATCATTCCCAAAAGTGAGCAGCATCTGATTTCTCCCAACAATATTATGCAATGTCAAGCAGACAGTAAGTTACTGAGATTAATTAACAGAAACTCATCATTCAGTTCTGGTTATCATGTCTTGATTTATTTTGAGTTTTTAACTCCATAGACATGGAAAAAAAAGTGATTTCTTCTAAGTTCTGCTTGGGATCATGGACTCTTGATTAGCTTAACACAATTATATTTATTTATTTTATTTTTATTTATTAAGCTTTGGCCTACTATTACACATAAAGAAAAAAAAAAACAAAAAACAAAATGGCCAGGGGAGCCGCTACAGCTTAGCCAATTACAGCGGCCCCCTTACTGGAAGTTGAATAATGTTACAAATCAGTTTGAATGCCTCACATTCATCACAAAAGTTGCAGATCAACTTGATAATTGTCTTTAACAAAAACCAAGCAAGGGTATTGCACTAAGTAGTAATGTTTGGAGTTTTTAATGTAATATCATATACCTGTGACTCATCTTCAAGTTCGCAAACATTGTAGGCTTCCTTTAAATCCCCTGGTCGTTGAGGATTTAAACTGTAAGAAAAAGTGACAAATCTAAATTGTCCATCTTAGGGTTACTCCCAGCATTAAATTTGCTGTTACCCATAAATACACCTGGGCGGAGAGAGGCAATGAGTGCCTAAGGACACAACACTAGTCACTTCTGGTAAATTATGTCCTATTCTAGACCAAAACTATCTGATTCTTTATCCTATCCCAGACTTAACTGCCTGAAAATCATACCCTTCACAGGGGCACATTACCCCATATAGCTTATACAAGGGAGTACCTCCCCCCTTGGAGAAACACCTAGACCCCACCTAAGGAATTAGTAATAATAAAACTGATCTAAACCACAAAGGCAGTACTGAAGAACAACAATTAAAAGGTGTAAATTAAACTCCAGTAGATCATAGAAAGAAATTAATAAAAGTAACATTTAACAGCAATGTCGAATTGATTACCTTTCTCTCTCAAGGGAAACCCAACCAAAATTTCTTCCATCACTAGGTCGAGTGAATTGTTTTTTGACATCTGTTGGGAGATGAAAAAATCCATCCCCTACCCTGCGGACTTCTGAAATCTAGCAATGAATATAGACTATATGTCACTAATGAAGGCATGTTGACACAACAACCCCAGGGAAGAGGTGTTTTTGAAAACATCTCTAAAAGGCACCAGAATCTCCATCTGAAGTAAAAAGTTCCACCTCATAAGGTACCGATGAATTCTATTTTCTTAAATGAGAGAAATGAGACTACAGGTATAGCTAGCCAAAAGCAAAGTACAAAACTGATTTCCTGAAATATTTAAAGAGCCACAAAAATCTGGCTCACATTCAGTGAAAATTGCTTATTTTTGGTTGGATATTATGTCACTCCTTATGTAACAACTGTACGCAATTCATGTGGAGCAGACCCTGGGGTGGGGGGGGNGGGGTACTATACAAAGTTCTATACAGGGAGGCTGTCCCGAGATCCAACTCCTTACCCTTTCGTATACCATTTTGACAGAAAACGTACCCTTTTCACATACTTTCATAACTGACCCATATTATGAATAAATCAGCAAAAAAGTAAGTCTTCTTGTCATTTTCATGTAGTGCCTAATAAATGAAATGATACAGCCATAAGGTGCGTCTGTTCAAAATATCTTAATGAAAGGCCCTTTCAAATAACTAAATGACAGATTTCTCTACCCTTTAATAGGCCTCAACTTGAGAAATCGCTAGTACCCTTTAACAAACCCGAAGCCTGAAAAAAGTACCCCTTTCGGGAGAAGCCTTCCTGTAAAAGCGATTATAGGGAGTATATCAAACACAATACTCAGGCACCTAAAATGTATCATGGCATTTCAAAGGCCGGGGGAGCGGATGGGGGGGAGGCACTCCCATATATGGGCTATATATTCATCTGCCACGGGATAGGGTAGGGTTTTTGAGGTTCACGATCCTTACATAGGGTATTGTTTTTGCCCCTGTTGGCGTTTTGTTCCCAATGTAATCCTTAGATAAGGTACCTAAATTGTATCAGCTAAAATTCCAGTGCGTAAATGCTCGGCTAAACATATAACAAGTGATCTGTTAAAAGTGAACTGTATGTCCAAGGTTAATTACAGAAACAAAATAAAGTTGAGCCTTCCACGCTATTCTTAGTTTTTGTTTTTCCCTTCAATAGGGTGTCATTTTGGGGGTATGGGCCTAAATAGGGCATCATTTTTCATGTCCTTCATCCTTAAATAGGGTCAGGGTTTAAGACCCTCTGCAGCACACACCTATCCAAAATTTATGGAAGTACCCCATCCCCCAGGGGTATGATAACAGGAGACTTGTNGCGGGCTGCACACCCCCATCCAATTTTTCTGGGAGTACCCCCCCCCCCCCCCCCCCCCCTCCCAGTTCCATGGATGTCAAAAAGGAGTGAAATTGCCATCTATTTTATGATCTCTGCCCACTACTCTTATGAGTCATTCTCCCTATTCTTTGGACAAGATTGCAAAATCAGCTGCCTACTTCAGCAAATGAAACCACCTACTGGAAAATCAGGGATAAAAAAACACATGCCCAATGTATGTCTGATTTGGCTTATTACTAACTCTCGCATTATTTTTTTTCAAATCAATTTTCAAAAACAGTAAAAAATACTTTCATGGCATCCTTCAGCACAAGTCCACGCGGTACTAATTTAAAAGAGGGTCGTACCTGCAGGGGGATTCTCGTGATGCGTGATTAGCTGATATATTTTCGTGATCTGTAACTTGAAGGTTTTGCGTGACCGTGAAGAACTTGTCGAAACTTTAAAATTATTACCACCATTTTCGAGCTACCGTGATTGGCCAACTTTTTTCCGCGTCGCACAACGCGGAAAAAAGTTGGCCGTTCACGGTAGCTCGAAAATGATAGTAACCGATATTCACGATTTCACCACTTTGTTCTGCGTGATTTTGAAAGGCGAGTCCTCCGGAAGATTTATTGCGACAGAAAAAATCAAACGTGACCTTTGTATATTTATAGAAACGTCTCGTAAGACATCGGTACTTAGCCTTTCACGATTTTGCTTTCTTCAAACACTCTTGCTAGCGTAAGAGTAGGTTATTAAAAACAGTACCTTACTTGCTTGATTCGGGAAAATGAACTATCCGTGATTCGCTATTTTTCCGATCGTGAACCGTGCCAGAGGACCCCCCTGTACGGCCCTGTTAACTCCTTTTACACTCACCTCCGCATCAGATATTCCGTGCTTTGTTAAATATACAAACCCAATCGTACTAAAAGCCGTGTATATTTTTTCAGCTAGTAACTTAACGGAATCTTCATCGAGGGAAGGGGGGTTCTGACAATTTAAACCCATAATACCAAAATCAACGACTGGTATTACTCCATCAGCAGCATCAGCCATCTTGATCTGGTGCGGCGAGATGTGGTGAAGACCTTTTCCGACGAGCCTGAGGTACAAAGTGAAGACCTACACCTCTGTAGTCATACGGCACACATCCAAAAGCCTCAATCTCTCCTCGACGCCTGAGTGCATGCCTGTCGTTATTGTTGTTGTGTTTGTTTTTCAGAAGGGGAGAATCCGCTGAGCGATATGAATGCAGGCGCAAGGCTCTAGAGTTTCCGGTTAAAACCAGGAGCTCATAACCCTGCTAAACCCTTATATCAAATTAAAAGTTATAGCGCTGGCTATAAACTATATCAAGAAAATGAAGTGAAATGAATTACCGAATTTTTTTCACGACCTCTAAATGCGATAAAATGTTTAAGCAAGCAACCGGAACGATGATTGCTGGTACACGTTGGATCAATAGTGATCTAATCGGCTTTACATATAAGATGAAGAATACAAAAGCAAAAACCGACACAACGTAGGATGATTTTTTGAAGGTGTACTATATTTCGGCTGGCCAAACCAGCCTTCTTCATTGCCTGAAGAAGGCTGGTTTGGCCAGCCGAAATATATATAGTACACCTTCAAAAAATCATCCTACGTTGTGTCGGTTTTTGCTTTTGTATTCTTCATCTAAATGCGAGCGTCTGAATCACTTTTCCGTGCGCCACGAAAGACCACCGAAAATAAAATTAAATAAATAAAAAAACACTGAAACTGCCAACTTCTCAGGCTAGCTGGTTAAAATCTATTTTCAAGTTCATGGATTTTTTCCCGCCCCCTAAAAGCGATTTTATCTATCTTTTTTAAACTCGATCGGTCAGTCAGCCAGTCGCCCAGTCGGCCAGTCAGCCAGTCAGTCAGTCGGCCAGTCAGTCATTTAAGTGAATAAAAAGTATGAAACATTGGGGAAAACAAGACTGCACTGCATGGCTTACCTGCAAATCAGCAAGTTTTATTTTGTAAGTTTGACGAGAAAACTGCTTTTAAAAAATGTCCCAGAAATTTCTGTGTTTCCGTCCGTTACGAGGTCATGAAGTTCACCTGACAGACCCTGGGCCTACGTCCAAAACGGTTGTATATTTCGCTGGGGTTGTTTTTGTGGCCGTCTACTCTCCACCTCACCTTCTCTTTCAACGCTCACAGACCAACATTGAGAAAGTTGATAAACTACCTACTTTTCTCCCAAATTTTGTTTATTTTATATCTAAAAACAAGTGTCTTATTACAAGATTCTTTTGCTGTTTTTTTATGATACAATATGTACATGTCAACTTAATCCACCATCTACCTTATAAAACAAAACAAATTAACGATTTTCTATAACGCTATTCTTGCCTACGTAGTTCTAGTAATTAACAACTATATATTTTGGATTTTATTAAAAGCGTTTAATCTGATATGATTAATGAAAATTCTCAAGAACGGCTCAACCATGATGTAATCTCTCCCCCAACCCATCTTTGCTAGATTTATAGTCCACTTTGATATGGAAATCTCTGTTAGCCTTTGGCTTAACAGTTCGCATCTTAACTTATATTATCTATAACTTAAGTTTAAGTCGCATTCGGGCTTTCCCTGTCTTTTTGTGGAACATTGTATTTGTGACCAAAGAAGGCTTTCTGTATTAGAGAAACACCTAAAATCTCACAGTTGACCGCTAAATCCGAATGCCGGCGATAATGTTAGCTTTTCAGAACGAATTTACGAGAAGTCGCTCGAAATATCTACAAGTTAACAAAAATATATTTTACAGTTTTTCTGTCCTGGCTTAGAAAAATTACTTACAAGTGTACATGTTCACAATCTCCTTACACTTCTGACATTTCACTTGACAACACCAAAGAAATATACAATTGCAATTTCGTGTAACCTTGACCTGCTGAATGTTGTGGCCACGCCCACAACACAACAACTCACAACCGTCGATTCCAGAAGAGGAAATGTTGCACTCACGACCCGCAGTCCCGAGGGTTCCCTCGCTTGCATCAGCGTCACAGTAATTGGGTGATGGTTGGTAGTATAGTAAGTCTGCATCTGTAGGTCGCTTTAAGTGAGTGTATCTTGGTTTCAGTCTTTCTTTTCCTCTCCTGTTCAGTTTGATAATCATTTCCGCTGCACTGTCGTACTTTTGTTTAAGATGATCACCGACTTGACGGAAAGAAGGTTGTTGCATCCAACACGTTTTCAAGGAGCATGAGCCGGATAAACCATGGCATTTGCATTTTCGCCACATTAATTTCGACAGCGCCTGATATAAAATTAAAAAATAACACGAATTTACGCGCCATCTTAAAATAACAAGCTTTTCTAGCTGAAATTAGTAATGTTATTTAGCCTGCCATTAATCACATTTATAGCGGAAACCGTAGTCATTTAAGTAAGTGTATTTCAAATCAGTTAATTCCCAATTGTGGCCATAATGGATAGCTATTTCCGCTATCTCAAGTGTGACATTGCCATCTTGAATCTGAAAACCTGAAGAAACCGTGTTACGTCGTACTTGCAAAAAGCTACATTCAGTTTTTGCTATTTTTCACGATAAAGCTTTGTTCTAAACATGTACATGTATTTCCATAAAGAGAAATTAAAAATTAGTTTCTTTACCCCTGGGAGAGAGTGCAGCGAAACGAACAAAAAACATAGAAACGAAAAAGGATGAAATTTCAAAGAACATTATTTACCTTCCTTCCCGCTTTGCTGTTGTGTCTGTTCATGACCGCTCGTGGACTGTTTCCTCTCGCTCGAGCGTCAGTGAACTGCTCTGAAAACCAACTTCCAAACTTGATGTTACTACTACAACCTGACCAAGTCCAACCCTTCTGTGTTGCGCCACTCAGTGAACGGTCACAGTCACAACTCTCAGTATCGCCAGCGCTACAGGAGGCCGTGACAGCATGGGCGACACCAGCTGCTGTAATGGCGTGTAGATAAGCTGACTCTGGACTTGCTAGGGAGGCAATAAATAACGTATCATAAAATTCTTAAGGGAAGGACCTCCAGATTTCATAGTCCCACTTTAAAGTAACGCTTCTGCTAATTAATTAGAAAATGACTTCAACTGACCAAACGCGCTCAGACAAGAAACCTGATTGGGTGAATTGTTAAATCCCTGCTGAACGTATATACCGGGCGCTTAAAAGTATACATCAAGGAATATGCAGGACTTAAAGGAGGTTAACATATACAACGAACTGACCGTACTTGGCGGGACAAACGTTGGTGGTATTAAAATGACCGTGCAAAAGAAAACAGTTTTACTTAGAATTCTAGGGGCAGCTCTAAATTAAAAATATTGCAAGGTAACCTAACTGTGGAATGTGCGAGGAATGCGCAGATTTTCGTTTGCCAAGGTTGGCATATTTCAGGGAGGAATAATATAATTCTCTCCATACACTTACAAGCAGGCAAGTAAACCTAATATGCTTGTATCTTAGGACCACTAGGCACGTGGGTTTTTTTTTCCATCCATTCCTGTTCGAAGTTAACAGTCAATCTTTTCCAGTTCTTAGTACAAAACACGATGTCGCATCGTTTTCATGTGGGTATTCCATAAAAGCAAACAAATTTACATTTCGTTCAATCAGCGGATGGGAGTTTAGTTAAAAAGCTAAATTGTTTTCTTAGGTAAAATGTTATGACACGAACTTCGCTCTTGAGATGTTGTAACAATCTTTTTGACAAAAAGACAACACTACAAGATGTTTTTTTGTCGAACAACTTCGGTATTCAAGTTCTCTGGAAAAGGTTTAGATTCTGCAGACTAGTTTAGGTTATTTGCGGTTTGCGGTTTTACTTCAGCATGGTCCAGTATGGGAGCAGTATGAGAACCTAGTTTTCTTAGCCATTACTAAAGCCGGTATAAAATTTCTCCAGAAATGAAAACGGTTCATGTTACGATGTCATCAGTTTCTTTCAAGACGCTCCGGTCTTCGCGCATAAAAAGTTTCACATGCATTCGAGCGAAAAATTCAATTCATTAAAGAGTTTTCCATAAGTCTTGTTTTTACTTTGTGATAACAGTTTTCAGTGGACTTATATTTCGTAATCAGTTCTCTTAAGATAACAAGAGGTAACCTTGGCCTGTTACAAATTTGTTTAGTCTAGCTGAGATAAATTTCAAGAATGCTGGGTAAGGACATGAAACCCCCAACAAACATAAACTTCTAACAAAAACAAACCTGCAACAAAAATAATAACTAGCATTTATTTAGATGATGCTACAATAAATTCAGTGCTAGATGTGCTGTCATATATGACAATCGTTCTTCTGGAAATTTCTGTTTTCTATCCACTGATAAAATTTGCCTTTGGAGAGAATACTTAAAATCTGTTGGATTGCATATTTAACCTTAATATTTGCACAAATCAGCTTTGGTTAGAACAGTACTACTCCGAAGAGCAGATGCTGAGAGAAAGCGACACCAGCACAAAATACGAGCGGCAAGCAACTCCACTACAACCACCCTAGCACCTCCCCTATGTGGGAGCCCGGGTTGGACTCTACCGAGCCATCTCCGGGACACATCCAACCCCGACCTAATTTTCGTGGCGTTGTCAGTGCTCCTCAACGCTTTCGATGGACGAAAACCAATACCGTAATTGTCAATGATTAGCTAAATTGCATTCGAACTAAAGAGTAACTTTGAGTTAAGAAGTTGTTACGTTGAAAACTGAGACTGCGGTCAAGCTACCCTAACTATTAAATCACAGTACACAAGAGGCTGTCAAGTACTGTCTGAAGCCTTAGCAGCGCTGGTTATTTGCTGAGTGCTGCACGGAACGCTAGAACTAATGACACTATCTAGGACTGTGACCTGGAATGCGTAGTGTGCTGAAAACACGCTGATTAAACAACGAGAACTTTGGTTTACGGGCGCTATGGCCTTATCTATAGACTTTGATGTCCAGACTCAAGAATATCATAAAATTGTTAATTTTTACTAATTAAGTCTTGTGCGAATTTCTCGAGTAGATAACACTGTGACTGTTAAAGTGGCAAAAATCGTAACCACAGTATATTTCTAAGCTTTAGATCAACCAAAAATGTTAATTGAAACTTGCTTTCTTTCTAAAGAGACTGCATCGAGTATTCCGAGCTTATATCCAAGGTATGGCACAATTATGAAGCCCAGTCGAGGCACACAGCTATTGAGAGTCTCTAGTCCTGTCTTTTTGTTCGTTATTTTTAAGGTTCTTGAATGTTTTTTACGTTCTTTTTTATGTGATACTTAATCGAATTTCGCACACAAATGAAATTGAGCCCTATATGCAGATATACTGTAAAATTACCGCTGTTTGTACAAATGTTCCTTTGTGTTTCTCTTCCTTTCAGTGAAGTTTAAACTTGACTAGGAGCGCGAAATCGAACACCAAAAAGACTCAAAATTACAACGTCTCGGTCACAGAACGAACACAATGTGCAATCCCGTACGCTGTAAATAGAATAAACATCTTGTCGAAACAGCCATTTCCCCAGGAAATTGAACTAATCGGTGACCGCACCTAGCTGTGCGGTATTTTCTTCAGACATGACTGAACACATATATAAAACCTTTCAGTTTTGGAGGCCGTGGAATTTTACAAAAGTGAATAAGTCTAACTTGCCTGAAGCTATTTACTTTGTCTTTTATCAGTGTTTTTCACTTGCAATAGCAATAATTTTGGGGTTTCCTTCCAACTTCAAGCCGTGGATTAGGGCAAATCAACTAATGCATTTTTCAGAACAAAATTTTTTTATTTCATCACGTAACAGGTTCAAAATGTGATTGTGGTTCAACAATGCAGTGCTTGAGAACTACGAATCAGTTGATTGACTTCTCCAAACAGGACATCCTAGATAACTCAGTGTGGTTCACCATCGCAACTTAATGGTAATACCTTAAGTTTACAAGAAAAGTCAAAATACTGAAATTATTTTAGCTATAGAAAGCTAACTGTTGTCCTAATTAAAGATCCTCTTCCGAGCAAGAGCCATAACAGTGTTACAAGACGATCGTGAAACCACAGTTCTGGCATCGCCTCAAAGTTTTAAAAATTTAATAGCTTTCCAAGTTGTTTCATTCGTCACGGTGACGAGTTGTTTTTCTTTCCTCTCCGATTTTTTATCGCTTCAACGGGGGTTAAAAAAGCAACTTTTTTTCATCATTAGTTTCGTTAATAGTATCACGTCTTAACAGGGTCAGGGAAATTTGTAATGGTAAGACAAAACTTGCGCGCCATTTCGTGGCCTTGAAAATTTATAAAACTCTTTCTTCTGTAAACAATAAAAAAATCGGCCAATGTGTCATTTTCACACAACAAAAGCGACTTCAAGATCACAAGCGTAGCGCCTATGAATAAGGTATAAAGTTATTACCTTATTTCGTTTAACGGCCTACAGACACACAACTCAACTAACTGTTGATAAATGGAATAACTTTCACTCAATCGAGCGCCGCATGAGTTTTTAAAAGTGGACTGATAACCTTGTCTGCCCCAGCTCCTGACAAATAAACTCTCTATACGCTAAGAAAACGAAACCTCTTGGTTTAAGTAAACAGATCTTAAACCTGTCAACTCAGGGAATCATGTGTAATACTTTAAATCTAGACACTTACCTCGTTTCAGTATGGGATCGAATAGTGTACCTGATTCAGGCACAGCAGAACAGTTCCATCGTCTCAAACGAAACTGAATCTGGCATTCTTCGACGGCTTCTTTCGCTCCCTTAGCGACACTAGCCATCAGAGTTGGGTGTCTCCGGCAGAGGTCTCTTTGTTTTGTGTTAAGCTGTGGAGTTGTAAAACACATAAGAGCTGCCTTCTTTGCCGGATCCGTAGAAAGTGGCGTGTGTGTCCCTAACGTCCTGGAAATAACAGACGAAGGAAAATCAGTTAAATTCCTCCCATTCCTCTTCACCGGCGATGTTTGAACAGGTTGACATGACACAACAAAAACGAAGGTAAGTTAGCAATGAAAATTACTCACCACCAAACTGACTCGCTCTCTTTAGAGAAACATAAACAAATAACGAAGATCCAAAGAAACCTCATGTTCTTCGATTGATTAACTCGCCGCCGGCTGTCCAACGAAAATCGCTTTGGGTTTGGTTTTCTTTCCAGTTGAGGGAACCGCACGTTTTTTTTTTGTTGCAATACTCTGTAGACGTGTCTTTTCCTAAATGCCTAATAAAAGGCTAGAATTGGAATTAACCAGGTGTCAACAGTTTAAGAGGGTGTCATTCAAACCAGCTAATAAAACCCGCATTCAAAAAGTGATTAAAACCTCCAACCCATCGAAATCAAGTCGCCCTGAAAATGACGCAATGTCGCCTTCATCGGAGCTTTTCAGAGAGCGCTCGAATTAATATCAAGCAAGCCCATTGTTCCGTTCAAATAAGGATTTATTATGATGTTTAATAGAATGAAATTTGGTCAATTTGTTTTAGGTGGCAAATATATCGTCGGTTCACTGCGCTGATTAAAAATACGCTTAAAAGAGTTCACACGATGGGTGAAATTATATCGATTTAATTGTCATTATCAGGAACGCTTTAAAACCAGAATCACTCCTTAGGGAATCAATGTGAGAAACGCAGGGTTATCGCTGAAACTGGGACTAACAAGACTTCATTTGTGATGGTTAAGTTTTCTCTCCCGCGAATCATTTTATCCCGATTTTCAGAAGCCGCCTGATGTCAAAATTTATCGGAAGTGCGTAGCTTGTCTTTTGTAGTGGGCGGAATTTGGCCAGCGCAGAAAACAAACTGTTCGAGTAATTAGCCGTTTTCGACACAATATATTACATACCTTTCACAATCAATTAATTATAGCTATCCCAGAGCGATCACAATAGATATACGCTTTGTGCGGCCTCTGGGGGCCTTTAAGGAAGGAAGCCATTTGAAAAAGGAAATTTTAATTTAATACTGAGGACAAGAAACAGAATGGCAGTTCTCTTTATTTTCAGTTGTTCGCCTCCATCTTTTACGTGCGATTTCTGTTTGAAGTGATTTCTTTCTCGCCGTTGTCACGTAGGTGAGATACCGACAATTGCTTAATTCATTGCGACTTACAGTTATATCCTTGAAAGTTAATCAAACTCTTCTATAACCGGAATGATTATTCTAATAACTGTCTCGATTTTTGTCTGAAAACAGCACGGGCTGGTTTTCCTACTCACATAAAACGACGGAAAACCTTTTCAAAGCTTTTCTGTGATATTGACAACGAACAAATATTATCTCTCGGGGGTTTGCCTGTGACTTTGGAAGTAGCGCGGGTTTCGCAGACAATGTCAATGGCAGTTGCAGCTGGTTTTATAGGTACAGAACCTGTGGTGATATCATAATCCACGACAAGGTTTGGTTCATGCAAACTAAAGCTGTGTCAACATATCATCAAAAAAGTCTAGCGCAATCTATCGGGGATTTAGAATATAGTCGGTTTTGCCCTGTGTAAACATCGAAATAAAGCGGCTTACTTGAAAGACACAACAAATTAGTGCGAAAAATTGTTCACATTTTCTCAAAAAGAGGCCCTAAATGAAAACCGTAACGGACACTTCCTTTAGGAGGTTAAAAATTTACGAGTTTTTGTCATCTTGTTGTCGTTTAAAAGGTTTATCCGATCGCGACATTAAGCTAAAAGACTCGGTCTTTTTAGCGCGTCCTTGGTGTGTAAGAAAATCGTTTAGGATGGGGGAATAAAATCGTTAAGGGTCGAAGGTTGCTCAGGATAGTTAAACATTCGCCTTCGGAAATGTCTCATTGCCAGTAACTACCAAACTATAGAGTCTTCGCACGATTCCTTGCTGGACTCATTGCCTTTTAAACCGGGCCCAGATGAAGACTGGTCATACAGCTTCACTACGTTCTGCAGTATTTTCAAATGAAATCTTACCTACTTGATCGTCAGCTTAGCTTAAGATAACTATTGTTGGAATTAATTAGGCCAGAGTGTTTTGATGTCAAGAAGCTCTCAGGAGTGATTAATCTGTGTTATTCCTCTTCGCCAGATTTCAAACTGATTACATTTTTCCACATAGCATCGAGACTACAAAAGTTTTTTGGTCTATAAAGAATTATATATCCATGAACTTAGGACCACCCATATCTCATACCAGACGTGGGTGTTAGCGTGACCGAAAAGACTGCAGTTCATTGTCTCGGGAATTTTGAATGAAGTGGATTCTTTCAGTTGAATCAAGTAGCCTGTTGTATCATACAGTCGGTGAACCTCTCCTTACGGACAGAGTCACATTACAGACGGTTAACTTGGTCTCAACGAAAGAAAGTGAAGAGAAATAGAGTCAGTCCCCCAGAATAGATGTTTTTCTTTTATGACTTGAGATCACTCCAGGTGTCTCAGGAGAGTCTAGATCATGTGACAGGAATTAGCCCCGGTAACTCCAGGACGCACGTGGCAACATTATCCGCAAGAGAACTGGGTACCATCTCTAAAAATAATTTACGAAGGAATTCCTTGTGCTAACGCCAATATCTCTTACACTTCACACTCTCCTGTCCTTTCGCTGATCATATGCAACACGCGCTAGTTCAATTCTCAAACAAGACATTTTTTCCCCTTCAAGCGTGGGCTGTTCAAAGGATGATGACTGGTTATAGTTCAACGATAAATTTTCTCTGATTCTTAATGGTTTAAATCGATCGAGTGACGCGATATTGTTCATTGGCGGAAAGACACAATCTGCTCTCAGTGCCCGTCCGAGGAAAATACCCAGAGGGATTGCACTCGTCCGTGAAAATGCGGGCCTATAGGAAAAAAGTTGAAAGTCGCAACTTGCCTGTTTTCTTTTTCAAAGTTTACATTTTGCTTAGACGCCTTTCATCTTAAAAAGTTGAACACAATTCAATCTGATCTTTGAACTGGCGCGCGGAAGAAAATTTAGTGATGAACATCAAACACAATAGAGTGTTTATGACTGGGAACATCAAATTTCCGCGGGGAAGCTATCAGCCGATAGTTCCTCGCAGTTTTCTTCAACACTTATCCGCTGATTCCAACTTATACAGCTAAAGAGCGTTAACGAGGGGAGGGGGTGGGGTGCAATCGGTTAATGAGAAAATAGAACAGAAAACTCACACCACACGATATTTAATACAATTATATGACAATTTATTTTGTATTCTGTAGCTCGCAGATGCTATTTCATGATTGTTATATCATTTGAAGATTAAATTTAGGTATTTGTTTACAATAAGCCAATGACAGCAACAGAAGAGTAAAGATGGAATACCATGGGAAAGGAATAATAAAATGCACCGAGAAAGACCACTGACAATGCCTCAATGTACAACGTAATGTTAAACGATTCGTTAGTTCTCACAAGTTGCAAAACTTTCTCTTCTTTTATAGCGGGAAACGCGCAAACGCGCGAGAGGCTGGGGAGACGCACACGAAGCGCAAACAGTGTCGAGCCCCACGCAAGACCGCCGCGACTCAACACTCAGTGGCCTATTCAATGTGCCTGGGGTTTCTTTATACTTCCCTCCCCAGTTCCTTCCTTCCTCGCTTCATACTACGCACGGGGGCCACGCACAAGACAACGAAACGCCTTGAGGATGAGGCGGATAAGGAAACAATGAGCTATTTGATCTGCAGTCAACTCTTAAAAATAAAATGAACGAATACAAAATAAAAGAAACGTGAAGTCTTTGGCGCGGCGATAAATAACGATTTTTTTTAGTCAGTATTGGACAATTTGTTTATACAATGCCGTCTTAACCCGATCACGCCATTGAGCGATGAAAACTGGATTTCTCCTTAAGAAACAAATTCAGATAAGCAGCTAACAACAATAAAGGAAGTCATTAATAAAATAAATTTGTTGCAATATGTAAACAAATTTGTCTAATTGTTGTAAAAAAAATGCACTAAAAATTCACTTGTCTAAATGTTCTCAGAAATCTTTTGGCAAGCTCCAGAGCCAAAGATTTTGTGGATATTGCTCCTTAATCTGCTTTGTCCTTATCCTTCTTTGCATTCTTCTCTTTCAATTTTCCTTTCTCTTCTGCAGCTTTCTTCAGTTCTTTTAAGTTGAAATCACGCTCAATATTGACCTGCAATGAGAAAAGAAAAGTTATGACATATATAAAGTGGAGATTTGCTTTCTCACAGCTAGATCTGGAAGATCACAAATGTTGCCTGTTGGGACCTCTTGTTGATGCTCCTCCCCCCTCCCCCCTCCACACCTGCCCCCTATCCCTCCCCTCCCCTCCCCATCCAAAACGATGGCTGTCCAATTTGAAAATAAATTAAGTATTTGTCAATCCAGCCTAATAAGCTTTTGAACATGGCAAATTCTCTACAAAATGGATTTGCCCAGATCTGGTGCAAAAAAGGTGTAAAGCTACAAAACTGAATCTTTTCTTTCATATGAGGGTGAACTGACAACCCATCAAGAAGATCCGGAGATTTGGTCTGTATATGATAGACTCTTGGATAATCTAAACTGGCTTGCAGGCATGCTTACAACTCCACTGACCTGCCTCTTCAATGGACCTGTGAGAATCTTCTAAATGCTTGCAAAGTTATTCATCCTGGGCATTACTCCCTGAACTGTACTGTGCTCCTGAACTGTACTGTGCTCATAAAGTCCTACAAGGCTATGTGCCACTCCTTACCTCAGTGAATGTATATTTGGTGATAACACCCCTCCTATCTACTAATGGCCTCCTTTTTGTCTCTTTTCCTCCTTCATAGAGAATCAAACTTGGAAGTTGCNGACAACCCATCAAGAAGATCCGGAGATTTGGTCTGTATATGATAGACTCTTGGATAATCTAAACTGGCTTGCAGGCATGCTTACAACTCCACTGACCTGCCTCTTCAATGGACCTGTGAGAATCTTCTAAATGCTTGCAAAGTTATTCATCCTGGGCATTACTCCCTGAACTGTACTGTGCTCCTGAACTGTACTGTGCTCATAAAGTCCTACAAGGCTATGTGCCACTCCTTACCTCAGTGAATGTATATTTGGTGATAACACCCCTCCTATCTACTAATGGCCTCCTTTTTGTCTCTTTTCCTCCTTCATAGAGAATCAAACTTGGAAGTTGCTTAGAAACAGCAGATCCATCTACCTTGTGCCTGGGAATTAAAAAAAAGAACAAATAAACATGTCAGGCAATCAAATCCTTTTACCATCAATTTTGTAGACTGATAGACAAAGCATTGACTGTATGAATTAGCCAAAACAAAAATACATTTAGAAGAAGTTCTCAAATAGTTCATGTATTCCCCAAAATCTCAAATAACAAAGTAACATTACAGAGAACAAAGGCGACAGATTCAGAAAGCCAGAATATGTCTGGGAAATTGCATATAAAACTTTAAATTTTACAGGCTTACTTTTCAGCTATGATTGGATACTTTCCAACATCAAGTTTTCCAAATCTAAGGTGACTATGATTGTATCTGTAAAAATAAGAATAAAGTTCAATGGGAAACAATGAGAAACAAAAGCCGGTCAAAGGCAAGTCAATATTCTTCACAATAAATTATTTACTTATGGCGACGACACTCAAACCATGAACAATTGACATTATTTTTTTCCCTTTTCAACGACTACAGAATTAGCACTTGTCATATTACCAAGTGCATTTAGCATTTTTATATTGTAAAAGAAAAAAAGGAAAACCAGTAAAAATGTGAATCTTGCAAATTATATGAATAGCCTTCATTCTATAGTCACCACAGAAATGGACAAAAAAATGCACTCAAGGGCCATTACTGTAAAGGGAAATAGATTAAAATGTACCACATAGTTGAAGTTGATTAGAAAAAAAAAAGTGTGCTACCTTAGTGACAATTCAGCAAATGTTGGAGCAAATCTGACACATGGTGGACACCAAGGAGCATAAAATTCCACCAGCCACGTGACAGATGGATCATCACGCAGAGCATCCTAGAACAGGAAAAGTTATTTGAAAGATATGCTGCATGTTAACAATTGATCTTAAAGGAGCTCAGTCACGGTATTTTGAGTTATTTTGGCCACATACAAAATTACCTTTAAATGGTAGGAAACCTGAAATTACAGTTTAATAAGATAGAAAAACACCAAAGAGATAATGATAAACCATCAAGGAACAAGGATGGCTAAGGATGGAGAAGATGAACACAGATTACAAACGACGAATTTGAAAAATTGAGGCTTTTTTTTCAATGTGCGCAAACAGTGACGTAGCTCCTTTACTACGAAAGTTTGATTAAAGTGGCTCTAGAACAAGCCTGGCTTGACTATACTCCCCTTCCTTAAAATTACAGTGCATCAACCTTGTTCCCAGGGTCTCTCTTCTTCCTGCCATCCACTCAAGAGAGACCCTGGGAATGAGGTTGACAGTGCATCTCTCTACTCAGGTCAATTGACAATTCAGTAAATTACTGACAAGGAAAGACCATTACAAAGATTGCTCAAATGATAGCTTGTGGTAGACTCTAGTCACTTAATACTGCTACTATCATCCCTACATTACAGACAAGTATAAACAAAAGATTCAGATCTTACATCAAGTGCTGGTCCTCTAAAGAAGTGTATCTCGTCTGGTCCACTGTATGATGGCTCAGGAAATAATAAAAATAACACTGAGGAAAAGAAACATGGATTGTACTTGAGAAAACTGCTCCAACTCTTTCATCTTTAGAGTATCTTGAATTAGTTAAAGGTACTTATTCAAAAAACTTCACTCTAAACCTCCCTTGGCTCCCAACTCAGGAAAGAAAAGATTGAAATTTTAAGGTAAGAAAAAAATATACACCTTCAATCTGACAACATTCCCAAGAAAATTAAGATTTACATTTAATTATAGTACATCAAATGTACTAGCTACTGTGCAACCTTTCAACAGAAATGGTATAGTACCAGGCAAGGACTATGAACATTTTAACATTGGCACTGCAAATTATGTAATGTGCCTGGTAGTCTGAATCCATATTTACCCTGTAGTTTAAAGTTCTGCAATAGACGTTTTTATCCAGAAGCCATTTTGAATTCCATTGTTTCAAATAGCTTTTATGAGATGCTTAGGGGTCAAATACATACAAGATTGCCCCTGAGCATCACATTATAATAGCTGTTTGAAACAATGGAATTCAAAATGGTTGCTGGGTAAAAAACGTCTATTCATTCTCTAACAGCTCGCCTGCATAGCAGGCGTTGAGGGCTGAAAGGAGGGCACGCTAGGACTTCCTACCCCTTCCCTAAAATACACCTGCAACACAGGCTATGAACAGCAGGACACCAAGATAATTTGATTACACGAAGTGTCATAGACAGTTCAAATGGAGTTGGCACAATACAGTTGTTGAGCATATTTGAAGCTCACAGCACAATGGAGTTTAGTGCAGTGTGGTTTGGTACAGTGCAGTACAGTACAGTATATGTACAGCACAGAACAGTTTACACATAATGCAGCTGTTAGAAGTCTAAAGAATGGAATATCACAAGTCACTCACCTAAGCAAAAGATAAGATAAATAAGACCAAGTCTAAGATCTGACCTGGCAAAAAGAACAAAGTTTGCAATTTTGCTAAACAGGAACACCATGGAAGCTGCCTCTTGCCAAGAAGCTGAAATGAGGAAAATTAACAGAAAAAAAGTATCAAGGAAAAGCATGCTGCACTGTTTCCAAAAACATCAAGTACAGAACTTATTTGTATAGACAGCATGTTATTACTAGATTTTACTGTTTTGTGCCCTGGTAAACCTATCCCAGATTTCTAACACATCTTGCTAATTAACAACCACCAGAAACTAAATTACAAATCAAGAAATTAAAAAGAAAATTAATGTTATTATAAATAGTTTAATACATACTTGGTTTCCATTTTCTGTTTTTGACAGCCAACACAATGACTAGAAATGATAATAACTCAAAGTCTCGCTGTGGAGACAAAATGTGGTATGTTATTTTGTACCCCTTGATTCAGTCATTCACTGATCTTATTACAGTATGAACCAGAAAAGTGTGACTACTTGCACCATGAAGGAAAATCAATCTGATGTGAAACAAGCCATACCCTATAGCTGTACCAGTCTACCCTATATCATTGTACCAAAATTGAAATTTACTGCCATTCAAATTAGTGATCAGGGTTTTTGGATTTGCAAAGTAAAATTAGTAGAAGGAAACATATGTGTTGTAAATCAAATTGCTTTTCAAATTTTGTTGTTTTAAATCTAGGTTAATCAGTTTCAACCTAAAGATTACGCTATATTATATAATTTACATATTATATCACATGAAAATAATTTGTCACAAGAATTGCTAATGAATGCACAAATTGTTTAATATTTGATTTTAACAGTGTTATCTTCAGGTTGAAACAGATTAGCCTTTAATGTGAAAAAATAACCTACATGACATAGCCCTCAACATGTCATAACTTGTGTTGGTGAACAATAGTAAGTGGAGGTTGGGAGGCGGGGCGGGGGGTCACTCCAAAAAACGTTTTTGGAAGGGATATGAATATTTTTTGGAATGAACTGGAAGGACAAGATATGATACATTTTGTGACGGATATTGACTATGCTAGGAGAACCATGGTTGAATACTGGGCTTGACTCTAAAAATATTAGTTCGGTTACGTGATAAGTACCTGGGTTTCTGTAATCTTACATGTATTTCTAATGGGTATTACAACCAAGGAAGCCCTGTAAAATGTCCATACATTGGTCTGAAAGGCATCACTTAAGATCTAGGCACCATGATGATAACTTCACAGTCGTAAAATGATATTACACGCGTACAGTAAGTTTACTCACCCAGCTGAGAGAACATTCTTCTCCTGGGAAAAGCCATCCACAAAACGGCTGAACGCACCGCAAAATCACATACAATAAGCATGCCACAGGATTTAAAATGTAGTGGCCACTGAGTAAAGGTTTAAACGAGTCCAATTTCATAGCTTTTAGTCAGAATGTTGCCCTTTTCTTTCAGATGTCGTACTCTTATGCCACAATATTCAGAACATAATTTTGGTGTCATTTTCCAAAATTACCGCTGAACTGATGCGATAACTTCGTTCCCGGGTTCCAGGGCTTTCTCTTGGCGATTGACCTCATCACCAAGCCGAGGCCACGACTGTTACTATGGCAGCTGTCACTTTTAATTCTGTGATCAGCTGGAAGGTACGCGTGTAAACAAAGGAAACAATACGAAAGTGAAAGTGGTTTGTTCTGTACAGATTTGATGTACTTGTTCGTGAAAACTTGAACCTGATTTCATCGCCATTTCGAAAATCTATCAGGTTTCATCAAGTTTAGAGGTGAACGGAGTTTAAAATATTCAGAAGTAACCTGCCATTGCTCCGTTAGTCAGAAGATGGCTGACAATCTCGAGTCGCTTCCTCCTGAAATAATTCTCGAAATAATGTCCTTCTTGGATATAAGAAGCCTTTGCCAAGCCTCCCAAACTTGTAAGAAGTGGTTCGACTTCATTTACAACTCCGATCTTCTATGGAAAAAAAAATACAGGTCGCTTGATCGCGAAGAAGTCGAGAAGGACATTCAAACAAGTTTCTGTTGGCGAAGTATTTTCATTAGAAACTATGGAACTAATCTGGTGAAAAAGCGTTGGCTTGAGGGCAAATACAGCCAAGTGAAATCACACGATGACGTACCAGGTAACCACCTTGGACCTCTTAATACGGAAACTTGGGGATCTATATTAGACATGGAAATGCAACGAATTCGCAAAGCTGGGTAAACTATACAAAATCTGCCAGTAATAATCGTCGAATGCTCAGCTCGATAATCATCCACTAATTGCTGCTGTTATTGACGAGTCGTTTGGAGTCAACGAGTTACTTTAAAGCAGCAGAACACATTTGATAACGTGCCCTTTGTGTGGGAACTTCCATTCACGTTGGTCATCAATAATAAACTTTAGGGACACTTACAGTTGTCGTGCACAGAAAAATATATACAATGAATGTGAATTTTAAACAGGATCATAATTTTAATAGATTATTTTTCAGTTAAATTTTAAAATATGTTTTTAGGGATTTCAAAATATATTCTATAGTGGTTGTGAGAATTTTTTTGAATTGAATTTGGCAATTCAAAGTACTGATAACAATGAAAATACACAGAAACTAAACAGGGCATATATGAATAAATTATACTTATACACAGCATCTAAGCTTTGGAAAGCTACAATACAAGCTGCAGTGACTGATCAGTCACAAATTATTTTCACCAATTTGCTTTTAAAAAGAGAGAAAATTGTTTGAGAAACAATTTTTGTTTGGAATTAATTTGCAAGTATCTGTTTATATCACTGTTGCATGTACATTTGCTGAGAATGGATGATCGTATTTTTAAAGTGGTAGTTTAAAACTAGCTATGTTAATGATAGTTTGGTCCGTTTGAGGAATATTTGTCTTTGTGCATGTTGTTTTGGTAGTTTATAGACCTCTGAGAATTTCACGCACCTGGTCATATATTAGCAAAACTTGTCCAGTACCTATTATCCAAATGAACAAAACGCTAATTCAAATACATCTATTCTTTCTGTTCTTTAGCGCATAAAAATATAATTAAGCAGTCAACAGAATGAAAATGTACAGATTACATAATACTGCTGTCTTGTTTGTAACTAAACCTCAATAAATAACTACAACTGTGGTACACATAACTTAAGAACAGTACTAACATTATGTTAGCTATTCACAAAATATTTAAGAATCCTCTTGTATGCCTGTTGACCAGCACAATGTCATCCAGCACCAGGAACAACTTTCAAACAGTTACTAAGCAAAGAAACAAATAAGTATCACAAATAAAGAAAGATAACAATAAGATTCTTACAAAAAATTTAAAAAAAGGATTGAAGAAAACCTGTGCAACTAAATTTTGTAATTTTGTAATGTTTGAAGCAAAGGACATAACACTGTTATTTAACTGTGCATGAACACACTATTTTTTTTAAATGCATGTCCTAGTGTAATCATTGGCAGGAACAACTTACCACTGCGCATTTTGTGCTTGATTTTGTCCTACCAAAGAAAAATTATATTTGTTAGAATATCAAAGCAAGGTCATGTTACTAATACAAATAAACAAATCAGTGAAAGTAATAAACATGATTAACTAAAAATAGGAAGTTACAAGTTTCCATTTCAGCAGATCAATCCATTCTTGCATTTCCTGCTCAGTGTCTGCACAAAGAAGAAATGTTCTATAGGGGAAAACTAAGCTGAAAGAGAAAATATGGTATCATATATCACATGTGTTGCTACCACTCGGTATACCACTAAATTTTACATAACAAATTTCACTATTACATATATTGTTCACACTATAACTTTTGGTGTGACTTTTGGTGTGCACAGTTGGCGGTACATAAAGTGTGGTCACAATGGTCTAGCCTCAGTATGTCCCATCTAACCATTCAGAATAATATATAGATTTAGCCAAGCCTAAAAGCGGAGGGCCAGGTTTTTCAAAGCCCGATAAGCTAACCCAGAATAAGCGAGAATTTTTATTTAAGTTCTGTAACTTTGTGGTGAGATTTTCTGTTTACATTGTTTGGCCTTCTGTTTTGAGTTTGAATAATCTCAAAATACACAAAACATAAGCAGTGAAAAACATTAAATGTTTTGTATACAAGAAAAATTTATACTTTGGTTATTTTTTAATCCAGGGTTAGCATTAACCGGCTTCTGATATATATGAGTATGGGGCTCTGTTTGGCAGCCCTTTGGGCCGCGGGAGTTCCGCTATAATTGTGAACTCTGTTTACTTGACATAATCTTCTCCTTGCATTAATTTAAGCAGTTACCTAAAGGCATTTGGCTTTCCGCATGTGTTGTTTTTAGAGGCTTCTTCTGCAAGTCGAAGATCAAGTACTCTGATAGGTTTCTTATCCTGACAAAACATATGTTAAACATTATTTTATTTAATAATCAGATATTTAGAGGGTTCCACTGTGATCGATTTAACTGGTCAGGGTTTGGTCATTTCTGTTTTATTTAACTATTCCACTATGTCAATAGGTAGGAAATAGTTCATTTGGTGTTGAGATGTGCACATTCTCTAGAGAATCACAACACACAGTACTGTCTCACCACAATACAAGACAGTGCATGGTCTTATCAATTGCAAGTTCAGTGCTTTTCTGGGTTTCCTAACTGCATGCATGCGTTATGAAATCAATTTATGAATAGAAACACTTTTTTCAGCCTTCTTGTCTCAGATTGGCAGTGGCATGTTACTTTAAAGACCAATTTAAAGAATATTAATTATTACTGAAGTTAAGCAAGTTACAACATCCTAATATTACCCTTAACTATATTGAATCTACAGTGCAATGGCGTAAATATGATTCATGTATAACTGGTGTCATAATGGTATATTGAGGTAAACTGGGTACTGTAAGATGAGCAAATACTCAACCAATCCTTACCCCTCGTTCATTATAGTATTGCAGCGTGTTTCTATTTGTGACAAACCATCTTCTCTTCCAGTTCTAAAAAAAATTGAAATCAAATCATTCAATGAAACATCTTCACACAGCAATACTATACTTAGATCTGGCCTTTCTTCCTTCTGAGACTTGTAAACCACATCATGTAGTTCCTGGACCAGCTGGCAGATGTCAGTAATGGAATCATATTGAACACTTTGTGATGGAAAGAAAATGTTCAATGGATCCACAAAACTATTACTTACTTTATGAATGGCTCCTTGTTTGGTAAGAAAGCCTTCCTTGGAGGCAACCTGTCAACCATGATGAGTATATATTCAAATCAGTATTTACAAATAAATTAAATTATTGCGATCTTAGGAATATTTCATTATATTAGTATGGCATCCCAAGTTTACCGCCCAAGAGAGTCTCACAAATATATATATATGTGTTTTTAATTACTTTATTGTATTTTTAAATACATAACATTTTCCACAAAAATAGAAAGCAGTGCTACTCACAGTCCAGTTGATATCTTTTGGTTCCTGTTCAGATGAATTTGAAGTAGACAAGGGCCGGTGGTGGTTAAAAGAGCTCCCACAGACTGCATGTCTGCTTATATCGTCATATACTGATGGCTCTTCAACCTCGGAAGGATACGGATGAGAAAGAGTAACAGGCTGTCCTGTTGAGAAGATGGTGCATGAGATATCTTATTACACCCACTTACAGTGTTATGTGCATAGGCAACATTTTTTGACGTGCCATCTTTCAACATGCTAGCATTGTTATTGCTATGATTGAGTGGATGATCGGCCTTAGGTAGGAGATGACATTCTCTAGTTTAGCAGTACTGAAGTCAAGACAGTATAATTATGTAAAATGTCAAAACCTGTTTCTCCTCCAATGATGGGATAATTCTGAAAATGCTCCATCAACTGCTCAACATTATTAAATTCTCCTATTCCAAACACAAACTTTGTGCCTTGAAGAACCAGTGGAAAGTGCTTTATAGAATCAAGGCTCCTGCCAAAATAAATAAAAACGACACACATTCCTTCACTGACAACTCATCACAGACTTATTTTTGTCACTCATGGGCTACAAGTGACAAAAATAACTGATTTGGATGAACAATATTGAGCCTCATAACATTACATTTGAGAGTTTAAACTGAAATATTAACAACATATATACACAACCGAGAGCCACATGAAGAGTCAACTCCAATTGATTGGTACACGATACTGACATGCTGAGTTTGCTTTTGCCAATAAGCAACCCAAAGGAAGATGTACAATGAGCCTAGATTAACCAGGTTGTATCTAAATCTTGTAACCAGCTGTCACCATCACCACCTACTTGACTGACACAGTGTAATGTCCAGGGTTGGTTTTACTTGGTCTGATTAAATAACTTCCTTGGCGTCCATAAGAAAGAAGTAAAACTTCAGTACTGTTCCTTGTCAAGTTATGGTGGTACCATCTGAAAAAAGCAGTATAAATAATATTACATAGTCTATGTCACACATCATGAGAAATCAAAATGACTGCAGTTGTTTCAATTGATGCATTTGAGGATATAAAGCCCGTTTTGAACTCTTAGTCTCATCTGTATTAGCTATTATACATGACAACTCCAGATTCTAACTACTAAGGGTTTGTAAGAAGTATTAATAATTAATAAGAATTGTTACTATCCCCAGCATTTTATCAAATATTTCCTACAAAAAATTGCCATTTGTATAAATTTATTTAATTGACTTATTTCTGGTAATGGGAAAGGACTATTAAGAATGAAGAGTGCATGTTGTATGGAATTCCACGAGAGTAAAACCATGATAGCTTTAAACCCAAGGCATTCAATCCAGAATCCATAAACATCACAACACCAGTCGAGAGTGAATGAAATGAATAATTCTTTTATTAAAAATACCCCAAAATATTGAAAACTAAACTAAAATAAAAATAAAAACGCTCCAAAAAAATCATGTGTACTCTTACTATATTCGTGGAGCATGGTATAATGGCACATAACCCATGATGGCTAAGCCAATGAAAACTCTTGAATTGCATTATCCAATGATCCAGTTTTTAATAAAATAATAATAATAATACTCGTGTGTGATGCATACGGGAGAGAAAGAAAATTGCATGCATATGTTTATTGTTATGCCTGTAAAAGGCAAATGCCAAAGGGTATTTTACATAGATGCATCCATTACCACAAGTTTCAGTTTACACAGTTCGAAACAAGATAATTGCCTTATAATTGGTCCACCTACACTTTATCAAGATCTAAAAACTGTTAATAGTTTATTAATAAATAATTTCTCTAACTACAGCTACAAGCTAAGACTGTGAATATAGCCAAACAAGGCTGATTTTGTATTCAAGCAGTGTTCCCTTGCATTGAATTAAATACAATGCAAAGATATGGAATTTCTGATATTGTATACTCATGACATATTCTGAAATATTCTGTTGATCTTAGCTTCTGCCGCCGAGGTAACAGGAAATTTACACATAAGCTTAAAGCTTAATCAATAAAAAAACATCTTTGCTTTGGAAAATGGGTAGCGACACGCAACCAGAAATCACTGAACTGGAATGACACTAACCCAAAAAAAGAAACGAGTTTAAGCATAATTAAAACTCAATGAAAAATTAAGCTTATTTATAAAATTTATTATTAGCTTAAATCGAGGAAAGACCTGAAGAGGAAGGAAGAAGGAACACAGTCTGAGTCCATACTGGGATTCATCGTCCCATTTAAATAAAATATCAAGTTTTCAATGTTAAGTTTATAGTCTGTTTACAACTTAAGATCAGCTGGGAAATGCTCAAAACTCACGGAATATCCTCGATTTTCTTCATCCGTGATCTGCCCGAAGTGTCCATGTTTTGACGTTGCGGTCCAATATGGCCGGAAGCCTGGAGCGGGTTTTCTCCATATATGGTGATTTCGTAACTACGGTGATTTTCAACAACAACTACCTTGGGCGCCATTATTGTCAATTTAGGTCGAGTGTGATCTTTTCATGTCTGGCGCGAGAGAGAATCTAGAATGTAGAATTGCTGCAAGGGAAAAGTGATGGTTTTCTGATTTAGCTGGTGAGATTATTGATTAATGTTGTGTAAGTTGAAAAATGACCAGATTATGCGGTCAATTTTGGTCAGGGCAGACACTAACATTGTACATGCATGTTGTTGTCAGATAAGACAATTTACATTACATTTTATAACAGCTTGATTATAAACATTTTCCCTTTCAACTTTGGCCATGTTGCAGGTAGGCAATGGCACTTCCGAAAGAGACTACGCAACTTTTTTTCTTTCAAGAATAGGTCTCCGAGTTGTTCTCTCTTTGCCTTGATTGATTTTGCATGTACAATNATAATTAAGCAGTCAACAGAATGAAAATGTACAGATTACATAATACTGCTGTCTTGTTTGTAACTAAACCTCAATAAATAACTACAACTGTGGTACACATAACTTAAGAACAGTACTAACATTATGTTAGCTATTCACAAAATATTTAAGAATCCTCTTGTATGCCTGTTGACCAGCACAATGTCATCCAGCACCAGGAACAACTTTCAAACAGTTACTAAGCAAAGAAACAAATAAGTATCACAAATAAAGAAAGATAACAATAAGATTCTTACAAAAAATTTAAAAAAAGGATTGAAGAAAACCTGTGCAACTAAATTTTGTAATTTTGTAATGTTTGAAGCAAAGGACATAACACTGTTATTTAACTGTGCATGAACACACTATTTTTTTTAAATGCATGTCCTAGTGTAATCATTGGCAGGAACAACTTACCACTGCGCATTTTGTGCTTGATTTTGTCCTACCAAAGAAAAATTATATTTGTTAGAATATCAAAGCAAGGTCATGTTACTAATACAAATAAACAAATCAGTGAAAGTAATAAACATGATTAACTAAAAATAGGAAGTTACAAGTTTCCATTTCAGCAGATCAATCCATTCTTGCATTTCCTGCTCAGTGTCTGCACAAAGAAGAAATGTTCTATAGGGGAAAACTAAGCTGAAAGAGAAAATATGGTATCATATATCACATGTGTTGCTACCACTCGGTATACCACTAAATTTTACATAACAAATTTCACTATTACATATATTGTTCACACTATAACTTTTGGTGTGACTTTTGGTGTGCACAGTTGGCGGTACATAAAGTGTGGTCACAATGGTCTAGCCTCAGTATGTCCCATCTAACCATTCAGAATAATATATAGATTTAGCCAAGCCTAAAAGCGGAGGGCCAGGTTTTTCAAAGCCCGATAAGCTAACCCAGAATAAGCGAGAATTTTTATTTAAGTTCTGTAACTTTGTGGTGAGATTTTCTGTTTACATTGTTTGGCCTTCTGTTTTGAGTTTGAATAATCTCAAAATACACAAAACATAAGCAGTGAAAAACATTAAATGTTTTGTATACAAGAAAAATTTATACTTTGGTTATTTTTTAATCCAGGGTTAGCATTAACCGGCTTCTGATATATATGAGTATGGGGCTCTGTTTGGCAGCCCTTTGGGCCGCGGGAGTTCCGCTATAATTGTGAACTCTGTTTACTTGACATAATCTTCTCCTTGCATTAATTTAAGCAGTTACCTAAAGGCATTTGGCTTTCCGCATGTGTTGTTTTTAGAGGCTTCTTCTGCAAGTCGAAGATCAAGTACTCTGATAGGTTTCTTATCCTGACAAAACATATGTTAAACATTATTTTATTTAATAATCAGATATTTAGAGGGTTCCACTGTGATCGATTTAACTGGTCAGGGTTTGGTCATTTCTGTTTTATTTAACTATTCCACTATGTCAATAGGTAGGAAATAGTTCATTTGGTGTTGAGATGTGCACATTCTCTAGAGAATCACAACACACAGTACTGTCTCACCACAATACAAGACAGTGCATGGTCTTATCAATTGCAAGTTCAGTGCTTTTCTGGGTTTCCTAACTGCATGCATGCGTTATGAAATCAATTTATGAATAGAAACACTTTTTTCAGCCTTCTTGTCTCAGATTGGCAGTGGCATGTTACTTTAAAGACCAATTTAAAGAATATTAATTATTACTGAAGTTAAGCAAGTTACAACATCCTAATATTACCCTTAACTATATTGAATCTACAGTGCAATGGCGTAAATATGATTCATGTATAACTGGTGTCATAATGGTATATTGAGGTAAACTGGGTACTGTAAGATGAGCAAATACTCAACCAATCCTTACCCCTCGTTCATTATAGTATTGCAGCGTGTTTCTATTTGTGACAAACCATCTTCTCTTCCAGTTCTAAAAAAAATTGAAATCAAATCATTCAATGAAACATCTTCACACAGCAATACTATACTTAGATCTGGCCTTTCTTCCTTCTGAGACTTGTAAACCACATCATGTAGTTCCTGGACCAGCTGGCAGATGTCAGTAATGGAATCATATTGAACACTTTGTGATGGAAAGAAAATGTTCAATGGATCCACAAAACTATTACTTACTTTATGAATGGCTCCTTGTTTGGTAAGAAAGCCTTCCTTGGAGGCAACCTGTCAACCATGATGAGTATATATTCAAATCAGTATTTACAAATAAATTAAATTATTGCGATCTTAGGAATATTTCATTATATTAGTATGGCATCCCAAGTTTACCGCCCAAGAGAGTCTCACAAATATATATATATGTGTTTTTAATTACTTTATTGTATTTTTAAATACATAACATTTTCCACAAAAATAGAAAGCAGTGCTACTCACAGTCCAGTTGATATCTTTTGGTTCCTGTTCAGATGAATTTGAAGTAGACAAGGGCCGGTGGTGGTTAAAAGAGCTCCCACAGACTGCATGTCTGCTTATATCGTCATATACTGATGGCTCTTCAACCTCGGAAGGATACGGATGAGAAAGAGTAACAGGCTGTCCTGTTGAGAAGATGGTGCATGAGATATCTTATTACACCCACTTACAGTGTTATGTGCATAGGCAACATTTTTTGACGTGCCATCTTTCAACATGCTAGCATTGTTATTGCTATGATTGAGTGGATGATCGGCCTTAGGTAGGAGATGACATTCTCTAGTTTAGCAGTACTGAAGTCAAGACAGTATAATTATGTAAAATGTCAAAACCTGTTTCTCCTCCAATGATGGGATAATTCTGAAAATGCTCCATCAACTGCTCAACATTATTAAATTCTCCTATTCCAAACACAAACTTTGTGCCTTGAAGAACCAGTGGAAAGTGCTTTATAGAATCAAGGCTCCTGCCAAAATAAATAAAAACGACACACATTCCTTCACTGACAACTCATCACAGACTTATTTTTGTCACTCATGGGCTACAAGTGACAAAAATAACTGATTTGGATGAACAATATTGAGCCTCATAACATTACATTTGAGAGTTTAAACTGAAATATTAACAACATATATACACAACCGAGAGCCACATGAAGAGTCAACTCCAATTGATTGGTACACGATACTGACATGCTGAGTTTGCTTTTGCCAATAAGCAACCCAAAGGAAGATGTACAATGAGCCTAGATTAACCAGGTTGTATCTAAATCTTGTAACCAGCTGTCACCATCACCACCTACTTGACTGACACAGTGTAATGTCCAGGGTTGGTTTTACTTGGTCTGATTAAATAACTTCCTTGGCGTCCATAAGAAAGAAGTAAAACTTCAGTACTGTTCCTTGTCAAGTTATGGTGGTACCATCTGAAAAAAGCAGTATAAATAATATTACATAGTCTATGTCACACATCATGAGAAATCAAAATGACTGCAGTTGTTTCAATTGATGCATTTGAGGATATAAAGCCCGTTTTGAACTCTTAGTCTCATCTGTATTAGCTATTATACATGACAACTCCAGATTCTAACTACTAAGGGTTTGTAAGAAGTATTAATAATTAATAAGAATTGTTACTATCCCCAGCATTTTATCAAATATTTCCTACAAAAAATTGCCATTTGTATAAATTTATTTAATTGACTTATTTCTGGTAATGGGAAAGGACTATTAAGAATGAAGAGTGCATGTTGTATGGAATTCCACGAGAGTAAAACCATGATAGCTTTAAACCCAAGGCATTCAATCCAGAATCCATAAACATCACAACACCAGTCGAGAGTGAATGAAATGAATAATTCTTTTATTAAAAATACCCCAAAATATTGAAAACTAAACTAAAATAAAAATAAAAACGCTCCAAAAAAATCATGTGTACTCTTACTATATTCGTGGAGCATGGTATAATGGCACATAACCCATGATGGCTAAGCCAATGAAAACTCTTGAATTGCATTATCCAATGATCCAGTTTTTAATAAAATAATAATAATAATACTCGTGTGTGATGCATACGGGAGAGAAAGAAAATTGCATGCATATGTTTATTGTTATGCCTGTAAAAGGCAAATGCCAAAGGGTATTTTACATAGATGCATCCATTACCACAAGTTTCAGTTTACACAGTTCGAAACAAGATAATTGCCTTATAATTGGTCCACCTACACTTTATCAAGATCTAAAAACTGTTAATAGTTTATTAATAAATAATTTCTCTAACTACAGCTACAAGCTAAGACTGTGAATATAGCCAAACAAGGCTGATTTTGTATTCAAGCAGTGTTCCCTTGCATTGAATTAAATACAATGCAAAGATATGGAATTTCTGATATTGTATACTCATGACATATTCTGAAATATTCTGTTGATCTTAGCTTCTGCCGCCGAGGTAACAGGAAATTTACACATAAGCTTAAAGCTTAATCAATAAAAAAACATCTTTGCTTTGGAAAATGGGTAGCGACACGCAACCAGAAATCACTGAACTGGAATGACACTAACCCAAAAAAAGAAACGAGTTTAAGCATAATTAAAACTCAATGAAAAATTAAGCTTATTTATAAAATTTATTATTAGCTTAAATCGAGGAAAGACCTGAAGAGGAAGGAAGAAGGAACACAGTCTGAGTCCATACTGGGATTCATCGTCCCATTTAAATAAAATATCAAGTTTTCAATGTTAAGTTTATAGTCTGTTTACAACTTAAGATCAGCTGGGAAATGCTCAAAACTCACGGAATATCCTCGATTTTCTTCATCCGTGATCTGCCCGAAGTGTCCATGTTTTGACGTTGCGGTCCAATATGGCCGGAAGCCTGGAGCGGGTTTTCTCCATATATGGTGATTTCGTAACTACGGTGATTTTCAACAACAACTACCTTGGGCGCCATTATTGTCAATTTAGGTCGAGTGTGATCTTTTCATGTCTGGCGCGAGAGAGAATCTAGAATGTAGAATTGCTGCAAGGGAAAAGTGATGGTTTTCTGATTTAGCTGGTGAGATTATTGATTAATGTTGTGTAAGTTGAAAAATGACCAGATTATGCGGTCAATTTTGGTCAGGGCAGACACTAACATTGTACATGCATGTTGTTGTCAGATAAGACAATTTACATTACATTTTATAACAGCTTGATTATAAACATTTTCCCTTTCAACTTTGGCCATGTTGCAGGTAGGCAATGGCACTTCCGAAAGAGACTACGCAACTTTTTTTCTTTCAAGAATAGGTCTCCGAGTTGTTCTCTCTTTGCCTTGATTGATTTTGCATGTACAATTATTAAGCCTAAGCTTAATTACAAACTTGAATGACATGCTTTCATTTCCAAGGCGTGGATAGGAAACTTTTGACTTCTCAAGTTCTGATTTGATGGCAGGATCGATGATGTAAAAATGTATCAAAAGCATCAATTAACTAATAACACAAGTACATTGTTAATAATTCACATGCTTGCATTAAGCTTAAGTTACATGTAACACAACATTAGGCCTATTCCAAACATCGTGCAACTGGCTTGTTAAACTAAATTCAAGAATTTAAGCACAGCAGTAGCACAACATTTGAAACCACTCATTTCGATGGGCTGAATTAAGTTCTGCACGACTACTTAGCACAGCAGGCCTTGCTGTGCCACACAGCAGTAGTGCAACTTGGTTTAAAAGGATGTTTTCTTGCCGTGCCGAACTTAATTCATAGCCTGCTGCATCAGCTGTGGTTACTTTCTAGCATTTAAAATTATCCTCAGCAAAGAAAATTTCTTCTGATCTTTGGCACAACTGAATTAAATTTAACGTTTGAAACCACCACTCTTCTTTTGTCATGCCACTGCCGGGCCAAATTCATTTGAGTTTGCCATGGCAGTAGCATAACGTTTCGAATAGGTCTTAACCTTAGCCTTTAAAAACAAAGTCAATTGGCCAGAGGTAACCACGGTCTAATTTCTCTCTGCAGCTTATAATATTTAGTTAAATACGATGCCAGTTCAGACAGAGCGTTGTGTCAATCATTTTGGAATAGAGGTGGCAGACAGTGTCACTTGGCAGGGATGGGAGCCTGGAGGAGAATATACACAACAAATTGTACTTAAGAATGTGCAGATTAAAACTCAAAAGCTTCAGTACAAGTAAGTGCCTTGCTACATAATAACTGAATGGCTGTAAACATAACATATTCACATGCAAACCCTAAAGGTTCAGAACCCCACTCAAGATTGTACTTAACACTCAGCCGTCAATCATAATGAGCATAGGTAATCATATGAATGCAAGTGTAATTAATAAGGATTTACACTACAAGTGGTATTTGAAAATTCTCTCAAAATTGCTTGTACCTTAATGTGAGTGCAATGTCAAAGAATTTTCAAATATCATGAGTAGTATGAGCTTTCATATGACTACTCAAGACAGTTATTACTGTTGTTTTGCAAACATGTGCACATCAATAAAAAATTAACAAAACATTGGCCTGCTCTCAGCCAATCACAGTGAAATAATTTTCTTTCTTATTTATTTTTCAGGTCTCCATCAAGTAGATTTTTTACTACACTCTATCCTAAGCCTATTGTTTTAAGCTCTGGAACCAGTTTCACCCTACCTGTCACATTTAGACCTCTTGAAAAGGTGTGTTCATTATCAAAGATGAATAATTGTATTAATAATAATTCTTTGATATTCTCCTTTTAAAATGTCAAACAGGTATAAACTAATTGTTTTTCTTGATACTATTTTTGCAGGGACAATATGAAGACCGAATAGAGTTTGAAACAAATGTAAGTTTTCAGGAACCTGATTTTGTTTCAGTTTCAAGATGTGCAAACTGTATAGTGGATACAACCCAACAATATCGAGATATCATTCAGCTCAGAGTCACATCCTCTATGTATAAAGCTGTGCCACTTCTTAGAACATAAATAAGACTTTGAAAGTAATCATAGTCTATTTTCGTCTACAATGTCTTGCTACACAATCATCAACTATACAGTCATGTGCAGCATCGCTTACCACAAAAATCCTATAAAAATAAGGTACAACCTAGAAAATTTTTCAGCATGCCACATCATAGCCAATCCCAGATGGTGGTTTCAATCTACAAATTAGCCAAGACAAAATGACGGCAAATGGGTAAATACTTGAAGGTGGTACAGTAGTACTCAACTGATGATTCTCCAGATTCTCAGCTCAAAAAATAAGCCTGGGTTTGAAAGGGTTTGGAGAGTTTTAACTGTACCATTCTGTGATTTCTATAGGAGGGTATTTTTTCAGTTCCTATGAGAGCTGTGTTGCCCAAAGCAGACATCGCAGTACCTGATTCCTTAAAGTTTGGCATGTGTGCTGTAAAGGACTGTGTTCAAGTTAATTTTCACATCACAAACACCAGGTAAGTACATGTAGCAAATAGAAAGAAAATGAACCCTCATTTTTTGAACCTTCTGATAACTCAAACCAAAAGTTGTTTCCCTCTCCTCAGTCAAATATTGTAAAATACCTCTGATTTCTCGAACTATCTGATTTTTTGAACCAATTTTTGTTTCCCTTGGAGGTTAAAAAAAAATTGGGATTCCACTGTCCCTTTTAGTGTATTTTGTAACTTGTTTTTATTTGATCTGACACAAATATAGTCTGTGGAATAGTGTCATAGTTTAAGAGTTTGTTTATATTTAACTACTGCTGATGTGCAGTGAACAATACAAACTGTAACTATTGTACTCTTGTTTTTCAGTGAACTAGTCACAAATTTCCAGTGGCAAGTGTTGGAGCCATTCTCTATTGTACCAGAAAGTGGCACTTTAGCTCCAAGAACATCATGCAGTATTAAAGCAACATTTTGCCCCAAGGTATGTAACATACACTTTGTGCAAGTTGTTATAACCTTTACAATGCACAAGCCAAAAATTGTATAAGGATCAATATGTATTGGTACTGTTGCTTTTTTCCGGTGCACCTGTCGCTACAGTTAACCTAAATAGCATTAATTGCCTAATTAGCACTTAGGTTAGCCTAAATATCACTGACAAGACAGTCATTTGCTGTCAATAATAATACAGGTATAGGTGTCTTAAAGGGTGACTCTAACAATTACCGTTAGTTTTGTTACCCCTACAGACACCTGTATCTCACCCTAGATATCACCAACTCAACACCCATATCCCACATTGACTCTTATCCATAGTGCCATTTCATCATTTCACAATTTTGTGATTACTTATGTTGAACATGTCATGTCTTTACAGGCAGCGTTAGTGTATGAAGCCACTGCTGTGTGCACGTACAGTGCTGGGCAGAAGACTCCCTTTACAAAGCATGTCAGAATTGAAGGAATAGGTAAATGACTGTCACATTTCTTTCACATCTTGCCTCAAGGCTAGTTGTTTTGCTATTCTGTTAATTTTGTAACAAACTCTGCTTCCTCTGTTAGGCAAATTTCCTCACCTGGTGGCAAGTGTATTGCAGAAATCTTCATTGATAGAGCCATCCAGCAAAGAAGAAGTGGTTTTGAACTTTGGTGAAGTGCCAGTTCAAAGCACTGCTAACAGATGGATTGAGCTTCATAATTTTTCTCCAGTTAGTACTGATGTTGTTAGTTGATAATCTACTTTATACAGTGAATCCTGATTTTTTACCCCTTGATTCTTGGACCTATTGATTATTTGAAACAATCCTTCACTTCCCTGGTAGAAAAAGGTAGGAGAAATTTATCCTCAATTTTTCAAACTTCCGGAATTTTCAAACCAATTTCTGTTTAGAAAACCAAGATTCCACGGTGACTTGTTATTGAGAACAGTCCATGGTCGTTTCTTGTGAGTAGCATGGACAAGTTTAAAATCAGATTCCGAGTCTGGGCCCAAGCCAGTCATCATGTTTTTCCTGAGTGTTGTAATTAGATGTGTTCCAGAAAGTTGTTTGGGCATCATAAGTAAATACTTGGAAGTAACCTATCTGCAATGAGCTATTTAAAATTAGAAGCAGATGGAGTAGCAATACTCCTAACCTCTAGTTATTATATGCTACAAAAACTAGCCGCTAAGATATGCTATTTGATGATGATTAACAGGTAAATGCACCCTTCCAAGTGCTACAGCCATCATCTGCGTCCAATATTGACACAGTATTCTCAAGTTCACATTACCATGGAGTTGTTCCAGCAGAAAGTACGATAAAACTGAAGGTGATTTGTTCAGTTATAAATATGCAGAATATTTAGCAACTGATTTGCAAAAGCAGATTAATGAGGAAACTGTTGACTCAGGGTCATAATAATTTGTAATCCAGGTATTAAGAGGTCTGTTTAGTGTTCATGAGCTCAAAGAGAGCCAAAGAGCTGTCCATCATTGTTGCATAATGTACATCATTAGCAAATTACTACATAGGTGGCCACTGGTAACATGTAATTCATTCTTTCACTGCAGGTCTCGTTTACTCCTCAAAATCCTGGCCAGTATTCAGTGGATTATCTGGAAGTTATAGCTCTTGGAGCTACTAACTGTTCTGTTGTCAAATGCACTGGAATTGGAAAAGGTAGACAGATACTGTAGCTGTTCACTGCTCACAAGCTGACAAAGATTATAGTTCATAAAATTTCATGTTGTCACTTACTATTTGTTAAAAAATGTCACAGTGCACGTGGTAATTGCTCCTGAAATCATGAAATTACTTCATTATAGAAGGGATTACATTAAAAAAAAAGTTGCAATAAGGTTTTTGCAAATCTGGCTGCCAGGGTTGCAAACTGAAACATAATTTAATATTTTAGAGTTGACAACTAAATTGAGAGTCATGTGCAGGAAAAATGTTTTTCTAGCTTGATGAGTTGCTTTAATTTATAGTTTCCTTAAAGTAATTGTCAGTTCACATGGAAATTGATTGACACTGCACAATGTTAACAGTTGTTGCAGAAATTCTTGCGTGCTAGTTGCCTAATTTTCATTGACAATAAGCAGACAGTCACATGAATTTATAATTGAAGGAGTGTGAGGAAAAAGCCCTAAGTGAGTCCTAAAATTATATTGAATTCTCCTTTTTCATAATAAGAAGTGAAAAGCAATTTGCAAGGAAAATCTTGCAGTCTATCTGATGTCACTTTGCGCCTTTTTCTATGCACCCCTTCAATTTATGCAACTTTATGAAAACAAATTGCCATCTGTTTTTCATGCGTTTGTCCAATGCGTAGTCTGCGTTTCCACTCGGCTATCACAAGGCTGCTGCCTAATGGGCGCCTGGTCACCTGAAGCACCTAAGTTATGAGGGCGGGTGACTAAAGTTTTGTTCAAGGAGCCCGAGTGGGCACCTAAACATGGAGTTTTCATTTCCATCTGATTTGTCCGATGACTTCAATCTTATATTTACGACTTTCAAGTCTAAATATTCAAGTAACCAGCCAGCAAAAAGAAAACATCCTTGCAATTGTTTTTGCATACTAAGGTTTTATATTTCAAACTATCAAACAAATTGTCATGACTCCATCCAATATACAAGAATATATTTTCTCCAAAGAAGCAGCCAATATAATGTGGCAATGCTGCCTCTAAATCACCTTTAGTTTATACTTATGTCCCAATCCAGGGGAAGGAAAGCACATTTCACCGAGACCAAATTGAACTCCCCCCAAATGCCTTCTTCATTTTTATTTGTTTTCATTTGCAGCTTGCTTTACATAATTTGTACAGTGTATTTTGTTTTGTTAGAATAGAGTTGCAAAACTCAAATACAAATGCAGCAATATAAATTTTTGTAAAAAAGTTGCAGCACTTGCATGGATGCACCAATTATTGAATTTGTTTGAACATAAATGGTATTCTTTCTCAGTCATGACCTGATCACTTTATTTCAAAAATTTGATTGGTATTAGACCATATTAGTGTCATGGAAAATTTCTGACCCCAGACCCCTCCCCTAAATTTCTACAATTTACTCCAACGCCCCCATCTTCCCCAACCTCCCCAACCCCCCGGATTGACCACGGCAAATTTTATCCTGGGCTCCTATTTTTGAAACTAGGAGCCCAAAGGGCTCCTTAATAATTTCCTTAGGTAACAGCCTTATATCACCTCATGGATCCACAGCTACTTTGACAATGTTATGATGAAACTCATGATCAATAACAGGACAGATGCATGAAAAACTGATGTCAATTTGTTAAATACACATGACTGTACAGTAAAATGTTTATTTCTATCCTGTATTCTTTAGGACCTGAAGTTGCACTGGACTGTGACTTCCTTGATATGGGAGTTGTAGAGTCTGGTAAATTTGCGGCGAAAAGTTTCAAGATTACAAACAATGCTGAAGTTCCTGCTGCTTTCCAGGTAGGCATAAGAGTGAACATTTCTCAGGTCTCATTTAAATATATCTAGGTGCACCTATGATTGATTCAACTACTCTGACTGCATATATAATTTTTTTATATAGTAATGTTTAGTCAGCTTTGTAGCCAAGAAGTAGACAGTTTTACTTGAATATACATGTATACTTAGGAGATATAATTTATGTATTTAGTATCACCTAACTGGTGGACTAATGCAAATCCTGCATTTTAATTGGCTACGCTACACAGGACTATTAGTAATAGTCCTTGAATAGCGAAATTGGCGCAATCGAGGGTGACGCTTTCTTTCGTTTTATTCCCAAATAAATATTTCGTCAACTTGCATTTGCTAACTTTATTATTGCCTTTTCTGTCTGACTAGTTGGGTGATACTTAAACAATTAGACCCTTCGCCCTCAAGGGCCACAGGTCAATAGCCCATTCGGCTTTGCCTCATGGGCTATTGACTCATAGCCCTTGCGGGCTACGGGTCTAACTGTTAAATAGTGGGCCTTAGTAGAGGTCAAAAAGAAACAAAATGTGATCAGTGAATTGTAGCAATCAGTTTTTCATGGACTTGATTGTGTTTAAATGTACTTATGCTCTCTTAAAATTTTTCAGTTCATGATTGACTGTAGTCAGAGTGTCTTCAAGCTGGAAACAACATGTGGTTTGCTGCCTGGCAAAGGTTCTCAAACTGTCATTATACGATTCTCTCCAACAAATCCTATTAATTACTACAGGAGACTCACTTGTCTTGTCGAAAATCAGGTCAGTGTCAGACAACTTTTTGATTTTTATTGCAAGTGTTTCCATTTTCATTGCCATTCAGTTGAAATGTGTTTGGACATTTTGTGTTTTCTTTTCAGAATCCATTGTTTGTTGATATGTTTGGGACTTGTCACACAGAACAAGTGAAACCAGGTATGAAAAGTTATTGTTGTTAAGTACTACTTGTGTATAACTGATTAAAAATAGAAATTAGTTACTTAAGACTGACTACAAGAGCTTATAAATAACTCAAAAGACAATACTGCTCAAAAAAAATTGCTATTGCTTTAAAGCAAATATTTTCTAGTGGACCAAAAAGTTAAGTTCAAGCCCTGCATATAATAGTAAGACATAGTTGGACAGCCCTTTCCAATTTACAATGATGAGTAATTATACTGGATAACATGTTTGTCCAGTTTTTTAAAAAACAGCAATTTTACAACAATGATGATAATATAATTTCAGCATTCAGTGTTTTTAATGGTGAATAAAATATTTACCATGGAATATTCATTTATACACCTGTAGCTGTTCTGGAGAAGAAGCATCTGGATAGATATCATACTCATGTCAGACGTGGATTCTCAAAAATTTCACCAGAGGTAAGTTTTCAACTGCAGATTTTATTACTGTTCAGGTGCTTAAAAAGAGGAAAATTAATTTCCTTGTTTTTTATATATATTCTAACCAAAATCCTGTATCATGTGTACTAAAGGCATCTACGGTTGAGTGTCGATTGATACCCTCAATCAACACTCCAGCGACATCTCGAGCGATACTCAGTCAACACTGGATTGACACATGATTGACCCTAGACAGACACTCAATCAACATTTGATTAACAGTTGGTGATAGTTGGCGGAGTGTCAACTGACTCATGTGTATCGATCAACACTTGATGGGGTGTCTGCAAAAATTAGTCAAATGTACACCTACTGTCGACCGAGATGTCAATTGAGTGTTGACTGAGTATCGACGGAGATGGTGATCAAGTGTTGATAGAGATGTTGATCAAGTGTC